GCTCACATGCTTGCAAGCATGTAAACTTGGATACCCGTCCCTCCACGGTTGGGGCTTTGGAATCTCCATGGACGGGGAGAATGAAAAGATTGAGTTAAGGCCAACTACGGTTGATGATATAAATCCTGCATTAACTTAAGGACCCTAAACGATGGGAATTATATATATATATACAAAAAATATGTGTATATATATATATCCCTTATTATGGGTAATGCAGGATGTACATCATCAACCGTATGACCCAAGTCTACCTTAGTCTTTAGTTGCCGAAGTCGTAAGCCGCCAACACGTTCAGACTTTAGGTTCTATTAGGGCTTTTAGGGCTTTCAGGGTTTAGGGTTTAGGGGCTACTACAAGGGTTCTACAAGAGCTAATTAGGGCTGCTATAAGGGCTTCTACAAGAGCTACTACAAGAGCTATTTTCAAGGTTTAGGGTCTTTTATGGACTACATTCTCCCCTTATTAAAAGTATATTCATTCAGCTACTAAGCTGTACTTATGGCAGTTAAGGTGGACTATGAGACAATGCTTAGAATATGCCAGGGAAACACAAAAAGTGCTCATTGCTCAGGGGCACACCTCATGCACAGGGTGCAGGTCCACGAAACCATGGACTGTATGCCTCCCTGAGCCCTAAACCCTGAACCCTAAACCCCAACAAGGGTCCCTCTTGTGTCCCAAACCATAGGCACCATATCAAGAAGTCTCCTAGAAGGATCATAATGACTCTTTTTGACAACTACCACAGGAGCCCTCAACAAGTAGAAGCCAGAAAGTTGAAGCATCGTTATCCTCATGCCCTTGATTGAGGTAAAGGATATGGAATCCCAGCACTAATCATCATAAAAACATGTTGCATCTTTCTGGGGATCACTCTAGACCCTAAACCCTACGCTGTATATCCTAGACTCCAAAGGAAAGACCCCCGGCACCTGTCCGAGTTTTCGCTCGTCGCCCAGCTTCGTCACTTGCGCGATGCTTCGCTGCCCCAACAGTCGACGCATCTGGCTATCAGAGTCTGAACGGGTTTAGGGCTCCTTAAAGGGATCTATAAGGGTTTCTATAAGGGCTTAATTAGAGGGTTTGGAGTTTAGAGGTTTAGGGGTTTAGGGGTTTAGGGTTTAGGGTTTAGGTTTTAGGGGTCTAGAGGAGCTTAGGGTTCAAAGTCGATAAGAAGTTTATGAGTGAGCTGCAGGGAGGTTGGTATGGAGTTTGTTTGACTTCGGTGTGTACTGCTATTGGCTTTAGGTTTTGGGCGCAGGGCGTTGGCAGGCAACTGGGATCTTCCTAGGAGGAGCTCCGAAAAGAGGGTATTCAATAGACCCGAATTATTTAAGCCCTATACTTAGTCGCTGAGTTCATAAGCACAAAAAAGTGTAAACGTTCACGTCTATAAGAGGTCATATTACCCCAAAAAGTTTAAAGCGCAGTAATTCAGCTACTACGTCTACCTTAAACCCTAAACCGAGGGTACTTCTAGTAGGGTTTTTCCTGCTCAGGGTCCATATTTGGGTCCGCTACTAGTGATCTTCGAGACGGGGTTGCACATGAAAAGCCATCCACGATCGACTAGTCGAAAATGCAAGCAGACCATCAGAACAAGCTAACGGTAAGCAACTTCATAAGATAACCCTACCCCCTATAAGCCAATGCACAAATCATCATAAAACCCTACGCCACATACACCTGCACGTCTTACCAAACCTACATTAAAACAAACACGAAAACCTTATAAATTATAGGAGCCCTTAAACGAACTCTCAGTATCCCAAGCCCTAAACCCCTAAACCCTCCCTAAAACCCCTAAGAAATAGCATGGGCTGTGTGTACATGCTCTCTCTTCTTCAACAACCAGGCCCAAAAAAGTTCAAACTGTTTAGAGTAGACCTAATGTATAAGGCCAAAAAGTTTAAAGTTCTCCCATTGGCTATCTGAGTAGGGAGTTGGTACCTGCGTTTACTGCAGCCTCCGGGCTTTCGGACCTAGGCTTTAGGGTTTACGGGTTTACGGGTTTCCGGGCTTCGGTTCTAGGTTTTAGGTTTCAGGGTTTAGGACTTAGGGTTTAGGGTTTTGTTTGCAGGCTTCGGGTTTGGGGTCTGAGGGTTTATAGGTCTTATCTACGGACAGATTCGATATGTGGTCAATTCGGCAATCATGGAAGAGTGGGTGGCAGCGTCGTTTTTCGTGCCAAGTGTGACATAAAACTATCCCGATATCCAGGCCACGATGGCTTGTGGATACAGTGCGCGATGAATAGCCGTACATTGGAATAATCCACACGACGGCGCTGCAGACATGCTTCCCAGCACATGATGTCTATGTCGCCATAATAGACACCATTGCAGGACTCCACCAGTGCCTTGCTTCTGTCAAATATCCTCCTGCATCCATCTTGCATGACAGGATAAGCCACATCTGAGCATATGATCCGACCTTGCCGCGGTGGCACCAACACTCGTTGAGCATATCCACGTAGATTTGGTCTGTTGTTGCAAAGTTCCCCAAGATTCTGTTCTCATACGTATCAGCGCGGCGCATCTCATCCGAACCGTTGGAGACAAGGTTGATGTAAGGATAGGCATCACTTGGTGGGTGGAAGGATAAGAACCTCACTTTGAGATCCTTATGTCTCCATTGGACATAATAGTCCTGTGCCACATGCTCCTGCTTTGCAAGGATAAATGCTCCTTCCTCAGCGGGCTTTGTGAGAGCATTCCAGTATGTGGATAAGTGTGCACCCTCAAGAAATGTAAGATCAGGTCAGATCAGATATGAGCTTGTTTAGGGTTAGGGTTTAGGGGTTTAGGGCTTAGGGCTTAGGGTTTAGGGGTTTAGGGGTTAGGGTTTAGGGGTTTAGGGTTCAGGGTTTAGGGCTTAGGGTTATCCGACTTCAGTCTGCTGGGCTATAGACGCTTACTTTAGGGTTTAGGCTTTGTGTTTTTTTGTGTACTTTTATCCTATACCCTATAAACCCTATAAACCCTATAAGCCCTTGAAGCCCGAAACTGGTTCCCGGTTGGGGCCATATAAAAATGATCATTTTTAATCCTTATTAGGGTTTCATTATAACAAAAATGTAAAGTTGTA